AAGCCGGAAGAGCCGGGAAAGGCGGGGGAGGGGGGGACGGGAGGCCGAGAAGAGGGTTCGGGGCCGGGGGTCGGGCGGCCGGTACCGGCGCCGCTGCCGTACTCACTGCCGGCCGCGCCGGGACACGCCGAGCAGGAAGTGGCGGCGAGCGCGTGCTTCCGGTCCCGCCCCCCTCCTCGCCCCGCCCTCAGGGAGGCCCCGCCCTTCCCCGTTCCCGGAGGGCGGGGCGGGGGGGGGGGGGGTCCCGCGGGGGGGAACGCAATCAGCGCTGTTTGACCCCAAATGGTGTGAGGGGGGGCTGACAGAGTTGGGGTGTTCGGCCTGAGAAGAGAAGGCTCCGGGGAGACCTCAGAGCCCCTTCCAGTCCCTCAAGGGGCTCCAGGAAAGCTGGGGAGGGACTCTGGATGAGGGAGGGGAGCCACAGGAGGAGGGGGAAGGGTTTGACCCTGCAAGAGGGGAGATGGAGCTGAGCTGTGGGGAAGAACTTGTTTGGTGTGAGGGTGGTGAGAGCCTGGCCCAGGTTGCCCCGAGAAGCTGTGGCTGCCCCATCCCTGGAGGGGTTCAAGGGCAGGTTGGAGGGGGCTTGGAGCAGCCTGGTGTGGTGGGAGGTGTCCCTGCCCATGGAACTAGATGGTCTTCAGGGTCTCTTCCAACCTAAACCCTTCTATGATTTGAGAAAAAACACAGGCCCAGGTTGCCCAGAGAAGTGGGAGATGCCCCATCCCTCCCCCATCTCACCTGGAATGCCTCACATTCCAGGTGAGACCGGACAGCAGAGGCTACAAAGATGATGAGGGGCCTGGAGCATCTCTCTTACAAAGAGAGGCTGAGGGACTTGGGTCTTTTTAGTCTGGAGAAGAGAAGGTTGAGGGGAGATCTGATCAATGCCTATACATACTTCAAGGGTGGGGGTCAGGAGGACGGGGCCGGTCTTTTTTCAGTGGTGCCCAGGGACAGGACAAGAGGAAATGGGCACAAACTTGAATATAAGAAGTTCCACCTAAATATGAGGAGGAGCTTCTTTCCTGTGAGGGTGGCAGAGCCCTGGAACAGGCTGCCCAGAGAGGTGGTGGAGTCTCCATCTCTGGAGACATTCAGAACCCACCTGGACACGTTCCTGTGGGACCTGCTGTGGGTGGACCTGCTTTGGCAGGGGAGTTGGCCTAGATGACCTCCAGAGGTCCCTTCCAACCCCATGTGATTCTGTGATTCTGTGGGCGGGGCTCTGAGTCACCTAAGATGGGTTGATGGTTGGACTTGATGACCTTAAAGGTCCCTTCCAGCCTGGGTGATTCTATAATTCTATGATCTAGTGGAAGATGTCCCTGCTCGTTGCAGGGGGTCTGATGGCCTTTAAAGGCCCCTCCCAACCCAAACCTCTCTGTGATTCTCTGATTTTTCAGTCTCAAGCAGTGGCTGCTTTGCAGAAGGCAGAGGATCTGGTCTGTGATGCTGCAGGGCTGTGGGCAGGAGAAGGGACGCTCTGGGTCAGCGATGACTTTGGCAGAGCTGCTGGATCCCTGCCATCATGTCCCTGCCCAGGGCAGGGAGGTTGGAACTTGATGATCTGTAAGGTCCCATCCAACTCTAACCATTCTATGATGTCCGTGGATGCACCAGAGCCGTCCATGCCGCGGTGCCGGGACCTCGGTGTGCGGTGCCGGGCACGTCCCGTGGCTGCGGGGCCAGCTTGCCCAACTGGTCCCAGCACCTACCCCCTCTGCCTGTGCCCAGGGTGCAGCAGGGAACCCCCGTGCAGAGCTCCCAGCTCTCTGACAGGACAGGTGACCAGTCGGGCTGTTTTCCTGTGAGAAAACCCCGTAACAGCCCAAACCCCCTTCCAGCGACAGGGCCTGCCCGGGGGGCTGGCAGCCCCCATGGCTCTGCACGGCTTGTGGTCCCCAGCACCAACAGAGACCCAAGGTTACCTGTGCCCTCCTCTCCTGGTGGTGTTAGCTCTGATAATTAGCATCTTTGGGTTAGTGCCTTCCGTACTGGGGTTGTAACGAACCAGCACCTCCCTGACTTGCCAGCGCGGGGGTTTCCTCACGGCTCCCCTCTGCCCGGGAGAGCAGGATCACTTTATTTTGCTGTCTTTGAATTCTAGAATGAACTTCTTCTGCCCGAGAGGGACACAAGCGTTGCAGATTTTGAGGAATATGCAATTGTATGAGGATTTGCCTGAAAGGGGATGTTCAGTTAAACCCCACTTCATGTTTTTTCATCTATAAATGGGTTTGGATGTCATTGTTTCATAAAACCAAACATTCTGTAAGCTGAATTTCTGCATCAGACTGCTCTGACAGAGGCAGTTCACGGATTTTCCTTAGCTTACTAAGATGAATAAAAATGAATGTAAATAAAAGCCTTTAAATGAGGTAAAGTCAGCTTTTGAGGTCAAAGTGCCCCCCGTGTGGAAGCATGTTTCAGAAACTAGATTGAAATGATGGATAGAGACTCTGGGTGATGCCCTGGTGCCCACCAGATTGTGCTGGAAAGTTTAACCTGCTTTCTTCTCATTGTGTTTTGATTTGTATTTCAAATGCTCACAACTGATAGGAAGAGCAGGCACTTTTCACTTAAACAACAGCTAATTCTGCAACATACCATGGGCTTTCAAATAAATCTCCTTTTTCCTTTTTCTGTTGAAAGCAAACCTCTGTGCAAATATAGTTTTCAAACACTCTGTTGTTATGAAAAGAATTATCACATAGAATCATAGAATTGTTCAGGTTGGAAGAGACCCTTGGGATCATCAAGTCCAACCGTCTACCCTTCTCTACAAAGTCCTCCCCTACACCATGTCCCTCAGCACTGCATCTAAACATCCTTTAAACACAGCCAGGGATGGTGACTCCACCACCTCCCTGGGCAGCCTGTTCCAATGCCCGACCACTCTTTCTGTGAAAAATTCCTTCCTAATGTTTAGTCTAAACCCACCCTGTTGGAGCTTGAAGCCATTCCCTCTCGTTCTGTCACTAATTACCTGTGAGAAGAGACCAGCACCAACCTCTCTACAGTGTCCTTTCAAGTAGTTGTAGAGGGTGATGAGGTCTCCCCTCAGCCTCCTCCTCCTCACACTAAACAGTCCCAACTCCCTCAGCCGTTCCTCATGTGATTTGTCTTCCAGGCCCTTCACCAGCTTCGTTGCCTCCTCTGCACTCGCTCCAGCACCTCGATATCTCTCTTGGATTGAGATGCCCAAAACTGGACACAATACTCGAGGTGTGGCCTCCCCAGTGCTGAGTACAGGGGCACAATCACCTCCCTACTTCTGCTGGTCACACTATTTTTGATAGAAGCCAGGATGCCGTTGGCTTTCTTGCCCCCCTGGGCACACTGCCGGCTCATATTCAGCCGTTTGTCAACTCGAACCCCCAGGTCTCTTTCCTCCAGGCAGCTCCAGCCACACTTCCCCCAGCCTGTAGCGCTGCAGGGGGTTGTTGTGGCCCAAGTGCAGGACCTGGCACTTGCCCTTGTTGAAACTCATGCCATTGATATTGGCCCAGTGATCCAATCTATCTAGGTCCCTCTGTAGGGCTTCCCTGTCCTCCTGGGAGTCAACACCCCTGCTTAACTTGGTGTCATCTGCGAACTTGCTGATGATACACCCTGTGTCCTTATCGAGGTCATCAATAAAGACGTTAAACAGAAATGGTCCTAACACTGAGCCCTGAGGCACACCACTTGTGACCGGCTGCCAGCTGGATTTGAATCCATTGAGCACCACTCTTTGGGACCTTCCAGTCAGCCAGTGCTTGATCCAGCAGATCGTGTGCTCGTCCAGGCCGTGTGAAGCCAGTTTTTCCATCAGATTTGTATGGGGGACAGTATCGAATGCTTTTTGAAAATCCAGGTACACAATATCAACAGCCTTTCCCTCGTCCAATAATCTGGTTTCGGTTGGGTCCCCCCCCGTGGAAATCTCAGTGGTTTTAGCAGGAACCCTCCTCTCCACATGAAGCAAGGGTGAAGGGGATGGGTCCTGATTAGTGGACCAGCAGCAGGAGCATCTTCATGGCCAGTGGTGGCCCTGGTGTTGCTTCTGTCACTAGGAACATGGTGACAGCAAAGGCCTGGAAGATCCGGGCAGAGGCTCCAGGAGACCTCTGAGACCAGCAGGGATAACTCACCAGCGGTCAGCTACTGGCTGTTGGAGAAGCATAACCTCGAGAGCTGGGAAAAGCCTGCTCTGGCTTCAGGAAAGAGGCAGTGGCCGAGAGGGGAGCAACAGGAGTCATGTGGCCCCTGGAAGCTGCCCCTCTGCCTGCCACTTCCCACAGGGCACGGACACTGTCCCGTCTGCTGGGACGTGGGGACACCAGCGTGGTGCTGGCATCACCTCCAGGACCAGCTGGCTCGCCTCCACCTCTGCCACCCGGCCGGCAAGCAGTGCGGCTGGCAGCGACGACGGCCAGCACTGGCCCCAGTGCCCCTGCGCAGCGTGGGGGAGACGAGGCTGAGGGGACTGGGGTTCGGGGTGCACTTAATGAGTCTGTGCTGCTAATGAGCCTTGGTCTTCTGCTGAAGTTCAAACTGGCCTGATTTTTTCTTCTTTCAAATGCCCCCATCACTCAGCAGCACCCCGCTTCTGCTGGGTCAGGGCTGCCCACGGTGGGGGCTCTGTGCCCAACAGCCAGAGGACATTTCCAGTGGCACACGGGGACACAAACAGGGCACACACACAGACGTGTGCCCTCAGCCAGCCACGCGGGTCGGTGGAGGCAGGAACCACAGCATGGCACAGACAACGGCAGCACCAACAGCCTCATATGGTTCCCCCTCTGGCTGCTCAAGGTGCAGGTCCCTTAGTGGAAAACAGGCATGCATTCACATGTGCACGCTCACGTATGTAGGTATGGACATATGTACATACACACACCAGCCAGGTCCTGCCAGTAGTCAGCCTTAGCCAGCCTGCCCCGGAGCTGTGGCTGCCCCGTGTCCCCAGCTGCCACGGGGACATGTGTGCACCGAGAAGGTCCCACTGTCTCAGGGACACACGTGCACTGAGCAGGTCCCACTGCCCCAGGGACACACGTGCACTGAGCAGGTCCAGCCTCATGGGCTCTCACTAGAGTTCCGGATGCTCTGGTGAGAGCACTATCTGCCTCTTTGACACTGGGCTCCCCAGCCTCCTGTCCTGCTTCTTGGCCACCTTGGCTTGTTGGC